TAATGTTCTCTTTAAACTCGATAGGCACATGCCTTCAACTTTATCTTTTTTACTCATCTTGTTAACAGCTGTATTGTATTTTATTTAGAGGTGATTATAGCATCACATTTTCTTTTAAACATATGAAGTATTTTTTTTTTTCCCTATAGAAAAATGTGCAGAATACAATGAAGAAGGAATGAGGATTCAACCTAATTTCGAACATTCATGTTCAGACACAGAAAACCCTTGCCCAGTTCATTATTCGTCGGAGAACGCTTACAAATGTAAAAAATCTTCCTAGCTTGTTATCTTCTTGAATACTGTAATTGGCAAAGAAATATGTTGCCGTGCAGGTTTATACTTACTATCATCATTTGTAGATCAACAGTGTTATAAGAAGACAAAAAGTAAAGTTTTAATAGGTAAACCACAACCTAAAGAAATAAAGTTAAAACCCACATTGGAGATCAGGTGAGGGAAACATTAACAAACTTTATTAAGAACATTGTTTTCATCTTTTTTTTCTTCTTTCATGGTAACAAAGGGATTATTACCCTTAAATTATTTCTGGGTATGTTCAGGAAATGCCAAAAGTGATCAAATTGGAATAAAATGTTACATAAGGGAAGACTGAAGATTAAAATTATTTATATACAATGTCTGTTAAAATTATTAATATTTCATACTTGTTCTAATATGTATATGTCATGCTTGTCCAAAAATTATAATTGCCATAAAATTGAAAGTCGAATTTTCAAAACATGGAAGAAAAACTCTGTGTAGGTGATATACGTAAACTCGTTATCTAAAGTAAATCCTTACCATCGATTTTTTTCACTTTTTCCCCAGAAGTTTTGTTTTTTTTTTAGTTATAAAGAAAAAAAATATCTTTAGAAAAATAATTTAATTATACGTAGAAAAAAAAGAAGTAACCAAGTATTCAAAACAGGTAAATTTAGTTCTAATGTCCTTTTCAGCTGTTGTTCATCTGGAGATAGTTTTCAACCTCTCTGTATGAGAACAGTATTGTTATTGACTGTTGCATTAAGGATTTACCATGTCCACGTCATCGTCACATGAAGAATTCCTGTGGCGGAAAAAAAATGAGAAAAAAGAAGAAAGCTAGTCTTAACTCGTTGGATGAACTTGCCAGCTAGATCCCGATCATGGCGTTACCATAAACAGAGACAAAGGATGGACAAATCAAGGGAGAGATAGCTTTCAATGTGTGTTTTTTAGCGGACAGTTTTATCACAATCATAGAATGAACATCTGAATGCCATTGAGATGATGCTTTAGGATTATACTCATTCAAAGCACTGAAAAAGTTAAACTGTTTTAATTCAGACATCATTAAGAAAAAAAAATATCAAAAATCTTACGAATCAATCATGCATTTTTGAAAGAATATTACAGAAAAAAGAACTAAAAACTTGTCAATACCAGACAAAAATACATCCATTAAAAGCAATGCATATATGCAATAAATGTTATCTAATAATTGTTTTAAATGCTTCATTAAATGTGTTTGTCATTTATTTGAACTACTAAGAAAGGCTTTACATTGTTGGAAAGTATAAAGTTAACTTATGGTACTTAAAGAGGGTCACTTGCGACACATTCTAACTTCCAAAAATTAACGTATTATATTTAATTTAATTTAATTTATATTTAATTTTAAAATTACCAATATTTAGCAAACAAATGAGAATTATTAGGAAATGCGTAAAACTTGGTTAGGTCACTGCATCTCAATTATTCTTTCTTGATTTTGGACAGAAACAAACAAACAAAAAAAAAAACCTTGTGTACATGCTTTATTTAGTCTTTAAAAGCATTTTAATCCTTTAAATGTGGGCGACATATTGTATTTTCACGGTAGAGTAGATACACTTGACAACACTTGGAATTTCAGCGATTTTTAAAGATAAATAGGTCAAGGAGAGGGTTATTAAGAACAAATTACATATCGTACCGCCGCTTATCGACTCTTAAAAAAACCCATGACTTTCCAAAATGGAAACAGTTTTCTCCGTGCGATATATAAAATTACTAAACACTAAAAAATTACCTCATTGCTTGCATCTAAATGTGAATCCAATATCCAAGTAAATGTTATTTTCTAATAGATATGTTCCGACAACATTTTATGCTTTTATTCAAAAGTGTCAGTTGTGTTGCTTTCATAAACCAGAAGTCTCTGTCGAGACTGTAGCTCTACTGGTTTGATCAAACAGGCATAAAAGGGGAGGGGGAGGGGGGACTTATATGTTCGACATTCTATGTAATTATCAGTTCTTCATGCAAATCAGTGGATCATATACCAGTACAAGTACCAGTAGTCTTAATGAGTTTTCTGCCTGCCTTTTGTTCAAGATGAAATGATTCTATAGTCATTGTGATAATTTAAATGTAACCTCTATAGCTATGAAGTAACAACTGAACCATCTAACTAAACTCATCATTTAAAGCATGATTATTTTTCATGTCCTTTAGACAATCTGTACACAAGCTTGCAATGAGAAAAGACAAAGGACAAAATGAATATTGTTCAATTTATATATTCTGATTTTAGGTTATAAAAAAAGTTCATAAAAAAAATCAATTTTGTAATCATTATAAGCATATAAAGAATTCACTGTTACACAAACTCTGATTGATAGTCATGAACTCAAATTGTACACAATACGGGACAAAATAGTTTTTGAAGAATGATACATTCAATTTTCAACTTTCAATAATACACTTAACATCAATTGATTTAGTGCACTACTACAATATGAAAACTGTGTGCAATCCTGTAAATTACATGACACAGAAGCAGGACAGATCATGATTTGAAATGTGCTCTTATATTCAATATTATCTGACATACAAATCCATGTTCAAATTGTACTTATCAAAGTATTTTGTGATTAATATATACATGTTTTTCATATGTTTGGAAAACAGTCTCATGTACATCATCATAGTATATACTTGATGAATAGTGTATGGAAAATGTGTGAAGAAGAATGGTTTACCTCCCTTTACGGGCTGGCCAGTGACCTCCTTCTTCCAATTATACTCACCTCTCAATACTTATTTCATCATCATAGTATATACTTGATGAATAATGCATGACTCTTTTTAAAGAAGGATGGTTTACCTCCCTTTACATGATGGTCATGCAGTGACATCCTTTTTTCATAATATTCATTTGTCAATAAATTTGTTATGCAATTTTTTTTAATATCTATATATACTGATGATAATATATAGTCAAATGTTCAAAATACAGACTACTTTCATAATAGTATTTTGAAATTCAAAGAAGTGTGAAATGCAGTCAAAGGATTGTTTGACAAATCAAAACACAATCTGTCCTTGATGGAACACTTAGTGTTGCATGATTTTAAAAATCATAATAAAAAGCATATAAAGTATCAAAAAATAATTATTATTGTATTTAACTAGTACAATATAAAATTAAATCAAGTAACATATATAATGTCTTTTGACTTACTAAAATGTTTGTGCAGTATCTTGTAGTATTAATCCATAAATTGGTTACCAAATTAATTGAAATTTTAAAAATTGTTACATGAAATATTTCAAATATACTTAATTCAAATCTACACCACATTGCTATAAGCATTAATACACCTTTTTTTAAAAAAAAAAAAAAAAAGTTAAGAGTGTGATATAAAATAATCAAGAAGATTAACTAAGAGGGATACAAATGTGTATGTCATAAAATGCAATATTGATATTGTCATATAATTTCAACAATTATGAATATAATTATATGAATTCAAATATTGGTCAGCTTTAATTAATGTCGTATTTCAACAATAATTATTTTAAGTGTACATCAGCGCATGGATACATACATTCAATATTGTCTCAGTAAGTATCAAGAATTGTCAACAAGATGCTCGGAATATACAGCATATACACAAGCTTATTCATTTATAACATATTAACATGATAAATGTAATAAGGACCTAAGCATATTATTTGGAGCAAAAATTATTGTCTATATTCCTGCAAGTATGTCACATAAAAAACCAGTACATATGTCTTTCACAGTTTTATGTACTAATGCATATCATATAATGTATATTCACAGTTATATCAGTTTTTGAACCATGAAAATAACAATGAGGACCCCCCCCCCCCCCCAAAAAAAAAAGAAAATCAGATCAAAACAAAACATATTGCATAAACCTTTTCAGAAAGGTTCATTAGTACTAGTTAAAATATTTACAAGCATGCACAACTCTGTTATTATGATCAAGCCATTACAATAATTGAAATTAGCAAGTACAGTAATTATACATATCTTTGGGAGCTAATATCACATTTTAAAACAAATATCACTTAATGTGTATCCCTCAGCACAATACTTAAAAATTATTCTTACATATAAACATTCCTTATGATTTTAAGCATAAGGGACTTCATATTTTCATCAAAAGCATGATATACATATAGTTGAGTCATACATATATAAAATATATAAGCAGAGATTTATGCACTTGTGGACACCCAAATTCATATTATGAATATAGTCATATTATGTATCACAAATAACATAGGAAGAACAGAATATCAAAGATAGTTTTTTTTCAATAGCTATCTTACAGATGTAATATTTATACTTGTAATTTAAGATAATATTAACAATACTGTACCAGGGAAACAAAAAAAAATTCAGTGGGAAATAAATACTGAGGGATAAATGCACTTTAAGTGAACAACACCTTATGAGAATGACTTTCAAAACCACCTGCATCACCAACTTAGTGATGGTACACTCTCTGGTGTACAAACGCACGCAGCGAGTCAGGTAGTGGCGCCTGCCCTGCTTCACACACTTGTGAAGGTACACTCGCTGGTGTACAAACGCACACGGCGAGTCAGACATTGGTATGTTACCCCTCTCTGGGATAGGCAGACATCATTGAAGAGGCATTGGCTTCAATGCATTAATAAAAATATAAAATGAACCCTTTTTTTTCCTCCAAGATGTTCCTTCAAAAATCTCTAGCTAAAGATGTATATATTATTTTGTGGTCAGAATAAACACTTTCAATGACATCAGTGATACTATTACATGTCATGTTTGTGTAAATATGGTCTATCAATGATCCAGAAGAATGGGTTGTCTTCGACACAATTTGTTTACAACTGAAAGCTTCAGACATGTATGTTGCCACTGAAGAGCCTCCATTACATAGATCTATATTGAAATCCCCAATAATGATTATATTCTGATGATTCTTTACTACTTTAGACAATTTGTTGATAAAGTTGTTTTTTGCTCTTTCAACAGTAGAACTTGGACTTCTATACAGCACAACAACTTGATAACTCTCATTTTTGAACTTTATTTCACTGTACTGCCATTCTATGTCTTTGTCTGAGTGGCTAACATGATTATTGATTTGACAGTCATTTCTTATGTATGTAATAATTCCTCTATGGGGTCTGCCACATTGCCGATTCAATGCAAAATCCAACCTGAACATGTTGTAATTCTCCAATTCATAGTCTTCATTTTCATCTGATGCTGTCAACCAAGTTTCCGCCACTCCTATGATATGACACTGTTGAAGATTTGGCTCAGTCTTGAAACTGGCAAAATGGGCATGCAGTGATCTCACATTCTGAAACGCAATGTTTATGGTCTGGTTGTTTGTCGAATCTATTGGCTTGAAACATAACTGTAAAGTTGCTTCTGTGCGTAGTCTACACATTTCTTTTTTCACCTTCTCAGACGCACAAATTTTGTTTTCATTTAAACTCAAAATATGAAGTCCTGTAATCTTTGTTACCCTACTTAGTGCAACATAGTGAATGTGTGGCAATGTAAATTTTGGATTCATATCAAGATTAATTACAGCTTGAACCATTGTGTCCCCCTGAGATTTGTGTATAGTCTTGGCTGCAGAAAGTCGCAATGGAAATTGTATACGTACAACAGTGTGTCGCAGGTACTGAAAGCTTCTTCTCACGTCAAATATTGGTGTCCAAGACTTATCTACTTCAGGCCCAAACAGATGTCTATACTGATATCTCCATAATTTTCCAGTATTTCTGTCATCAAAAGAAACCCAAATTATACTTGGTCTTTCAGTGCTTTCTTGTCTCCTCTCTATGTACTCCACCTTACATGATGTACCATTTGTCAGCCCATCCTCCACACATAAGTTAGCAGTGATTTCATATTGCAGACGAAGTGCTATGGGAACATTTTTGGCCAATCCAGCTGTTTTAGAGGAGTCATCTGGCAAATTCAAGTGCTGTAATAAATTTTCCCTACCCACTACAGAATCATGAGCTGGTATATTAACCTTTTCACCATCAGCTAGCAGAAACACTTGGTTGTTGTAGGCATTCACACTTTCATTTCTTGTATACAATCGTGGAGCATCTCTGGGATATACTGGTTGTGACTCATCTACGCAGCGCTGCTTCAATGTCTGTATATCAGCTTCAGTTTGATTTCCTTCTCTTAAACGGTTAAGTAACTCAGCAAAATGAACATCATCTTTCTGTCTCATTATTTCCGTAAGTTCATGCATTGTGAACAAGTCCCGCCATAGGTTAGTTGCCAATGGTCCAAAGTTTTTCTTCAAGTCATCAAAAACCCATCCATCCATGACTGGCTTTAACTGGAAAAGATCCCCAATTAAAATGACATTGATACCTCCAAAGTATTCTTTACTGCCTTTAATCTGCTTTAAACGCTCGTGCACACAATTCAACTGTGAATTTCCAACCATTGAAACCTCGTCAATGATGACCGTTGACAAATATTTGTACATTGTTCTAAGGGTGTTCAAGGATTCACTATCAAGTGGCTTGCAGTTAAATCCTTGACTTGCAGGAATTTTGAATGCTGAATGTATCGTCTGTCCCTTTATATTGAATGCGGCTTTTCCTGTTGGAGCACAAAGTAAAACTTTACAGTCATCTGGATTTTCACCTTCAGTAGAGCAATAGTGTCTTGTGAGTGCCTCATACAAAGCTCTTACAACAACAGACTTTCCAACTCCTGCACCACCAGTTAGGAAAACTCTAAGTGGTTCTTTTTTAGTTTTAATCCAATGAAGCACATGAGTAAAAAACTCCATTTGCTTTTTGTTTAACTTGCTAACTAACTGGAAATACTGCTCATTGGTCATCTTGTACTGATGAGTTTGATCATCATTGTTAGAACTACATGGTAATCCAAGATCCATTCCTATGTCATAGGTCTGGTGATTTAATGGACGCTTAGGGTCAAAATACACAAATGCTTCACTTTCCCTACTCCCTTCATCCAAGTCCTCTTCTTCAGTTTGTTCTGTGCTAGGTGCTACTCTATCAAATTGTACATCAACCTCTTCAGCTTGTCTCTGTGCCTTTTCCAGCTCCTCTGCATTGCGTTCGTACTTCTTAACTTTAGCAGCTATAAAACTCTTCAGTTGATTGTATTTTTCTTCATAAGTTGAGTTTCCTTTAATGTCAATTTGTTCCTTTCTCCATGGATGGAAGAGTAAAATTCTTTCTCTAAAATGATTTTCAGAATCAATTTTGATGGAGTAGTTGACATAACGGATGCATTTTGCCTTCTTCCTTTGTCTAATAATGATGCCATTTTTCATAACAATTCTAATCAATTCTGAATCCATTTCTTCATCTTCCAAGTCTTTCAATTCTTGTTCATCTTCAGTATCATCATTTTGCTCTTGGAACTCCTCATTTTCTTTAAATTCTTTTGGGTATATAATTTCTAGTTCAGCGGCATAATCTGCTAAACACCAGTTTTCAAGCTGCCTTGGTCTCTGTGAATAACGCTTGATTATACTGCTTGCATGAATGTCTGTGGAATTCTCTGGCAATTCTTCTAAAGCAGATTTACTTTTTAACAAGAAGGTTCTTTCTTCTGGAGGTGAAGTATTTATGAACACAACATCTCTTGAACTTTTTGTCAAAGGTAATTGTAAATTTAAGTATGCAGCTTCTTGTGCACTGATTTCAACTGCATTCAAGAACTTGTTTCCCATGTGTCGAACCTGTTTTTTCAAATCCATATTTCCTTCCCTTGCTTCCTTACATGCTTGATCAAGCAGATTACTCATACCACGTTGAGACTTGCTAATGTAGGACACAATGTACATGGCACATGCATATGGGTCTAGGACAAACTGCAAATCATGATTAGCTCGCCATGCTGACAAAACATTTTTCATGTAAGGATTCACTCTTATTTCACAAGGGTTTCTCTTCAGAAAAAGCTGTGGTCTATCAATGGAACTTCTAACTGACTTTATGTAATCTTCTTTCTCCAGGTTCAGTGATTGTAAAAATTCACTGAAAGAAATTTTTTTCCCTTCTTTCATATCTGCTAATTCTTTCTTCACCTTCGTAAAAATTTCTTTGTACGTCATTGCATCTGAGTCATCTGCTGATAAAGGTTCCAAGATCAAAGTTGAATCCATAGGAGGCTGAGGAAATCCAAATCGACAAATGTCTTTTCCTTTTTTCCTGCAAGTTCTGGAATGTTTGTGAATTTGTAATTCTATAAGTGGTGCAATTTCATCATCACAATTTGCAGAGCAAGATACATACTTATCTATGAATTTTGCAATGTGAGTAACTGGATCTTCCTTAAATTTTGGAGCATCTTTTATCCACATGAGCATATGAATGTGAGGTGATCCTCTGTGTTGAAATTCAACACGATAAAAAAAGTCTATCAGTTCCCCAACAGGATGATGCTCACTCTTCAAAACTGTATTGATAAACACATGTACTCTATGATCAAAAAAACGAACACATGTCACCGGATCTTTTTGCACCAGGTCAGTTTTTTCAGCCCATGTCATTTTGTCTATTTCCTCATCAGTAAGTGATTTCTTGAGATTAAGTTGAGCAAGAGTTTTGAGCAACTCAGGCCATCTTGTATCTGCTGCTGATAAAGATGAAAACCAAGTTGGTAATCCCAGTTGTCTAATCATGGCAAACAACTCCTTCTTTTTTGCCTCTAGATAGGGAGGACTGTTTCTCAAAGTTCTAAAAATGTAATATCCTTCATCTAATCTTGTTATCTTGTCAAGTACTTCCTGATTGAGAACATCACCAGCTGTTAATTTCTTCTCTGTGCCCTTGCATCTTCTCAATACAAGATTGACTTTGTCCGATATCTGCTTCATTTGAATTTTCTTCATTTTGAAAAATAAATTTGGCACACTATTTGCTGCACGTCTGTCAATGTTTCTTAGTTCCCATTTCACAAGATCACTGTAATGAACTTTAACTTCACGATCATCATTTGAAGCCATCCTCTGACCACAGTAAATGGTTGGAAAAGACAAGAATTCTGCATCCTTATCTGTGTACAAACTCAATGGTGTCTGTCCTTCTCCTGGAGCAAATGTATATACCTGATCTTGAACAGGATTTGCATCATCCAGTAATGTGTCACAGCTGCCAGAGTGTCCTTCTCTTTCATCAATTTCTTCAAAAGTACTTTCTTCTAACACATCTGATGTAACACCAAAGTTTGTATTCCTTCCTTCAGTACACCCAGATGTACTTGTGTTGAAATATTCTGAAATGATTTCACTGCTATCAGCAGTTATTCTGGCTTCCCAGTCCTCATCTATATGAATATTTGCATCTTTGTACATTTGGCTATTTCTCATCAACCAGTGTAATGCAATGATTACATGCTGTGGTCTCACATTTTCCACAAAATCACAAGTTTTGTAACTTAGTCTCCTCTTTAAGCGGACTGGAACTGTAATGTCATTGTTAAACTGTCTTGGTAAAGAATTTACAGTTGGTTGGATATCTACTGGAACATTAACAACATTTCCTTTGATAGATAATTGTCTACCTCTAGGCAACTCCCTTATTTGCATAAATGGAATCCGTAAAGCTATGAGGCGTTCTTCTAACTGATGAAGTTCAAGTTCTTCTGATTTGGGAGGAAACTGTACATTGTTTGCTATTGACAACTTTGGCATTTTCCTATCTTGTATTGATTTCTTACATGTTAAGCATATCCATTCTTTTCCACCAACTGATATATATTTGCTGAGGAATTTTGCAACATCTTCAGGTGGTAAATCTTTTTTAAGAAAGCTGCTATCAACAACTGAATGAGAAAACCAAGTCTGCTGACAGCAAGTGCATACATATAATGGCCCTTCTTCTGTTCTTTTGTTAAACACTGATATTGCTTCTGACAGTGTTGAACCATACTTTCTGCATTTTCTGGCAATCTTTTCTATCCTACAGAAATGTGGATCTTTCCTTTTATGGGCTTTAGCACTCTTTTCTCTGAATTTTTCTTTCACACGATAATCCACATTATTTCTTTTCACAGATTTTCTAATGCGTTCCAATTCAAGAAATGTAGAATCTTCCCTACTCTTTCGTTTTCTTTTAACATCTCTGTCACGTTCATTCTTCATTACATCTATATTCTTCCTTTCTTTTTGCTTAGCAATTCTCCCTTTTTCTTTCTCAGAAAGTCTAAATATTGGGTTATTCCTCTTTCTTTGCTTTGCTGCTTTGTCCCTTTCTTTCTCAACATTTCTAATCTCTTTGTCTAATCGTTTCGCTTGCCTTGCTGTTTTGTCCTTATCTTTCTCAATGTTTCTTGTCTCTTCATCTAACCGTTTTGCTTGTCTTGCTGTTTTGTCCCTTTCCTTTTCAATGTTTCTTGTCTCTTCATCTAATCGTTTTGCTTGCCTTGATGTTTTGTCCCTTTCTTTCTCAATGTTTCTTGTCTCTTCATCTAATCGTTTTGCTTGTCTTCCTGTTTTGTCCCTTTCTTTCTCAATGTTTCTAATCTCCTTGTCTAATCGTTTTGCTTGTCTTGCTGTTTTGTCCCTTTCTTTCTCAATGTTTCTAATCTCCTTGTCTAATCGTTTTGCTTGTCTTGCTGTTTTGTCCCTTTCCTTTTCAAAGTTTCTTGTCTCTTCATCTAATCGTTTTGTTTGTTTAGCTGTTTTGTCCTTTTCTTTTTCAATGTTTCTAATCTTCTTATCTAATCGTTTTACTTGCCTTGCTGTTTTGTCCCTTTCTTTCTCAATGTTTCTAGCATCTTTGTCTAATCGTTTTACTTGCCTTGCTCTTCTTTCTCTTCCTCTCTCAATTTTTCTTCTTTCATTGTCTAACCTTTTTTCTTGTCTTGCCACTTTGTCTCTCTCTCTCTCTATGTTTCTTTTTTCGGTTTCTAATCTTCTCTCTTGCTTTGCTACTTTGTCTCTTACTTTCTCAATATTTCTAGCATGTTCTTTATTCCTCCAGTTTTTCATGTAATTTTTTATGTACTCTTTTCTAGAAGTATTGATCTTTCCTTCCTCTTTCTTTTTGATCATGCCTTTCTGTCTACATTCTTGATCATCAAAATACCTGTCAAGAAGACTGTCATTTTTTATATGTTCTGCTGTTCCATCAGACGAAATTTCCCCCATTACTTGTAGGGCATCTGTACCTGATTCAGTAATATTTACTGGAGTTATTTCAAACTGAGAGTTCTGGTCAACAGAGAGAGATAATGCCAAATTCAAACAATGTTGTGCCACACCCTCCAATGTCTCTATTCCAATCAATGTACTTTTTCCATTGGCATCAAGTAAACCTTTATGATCTCGTGCATGGGAATCAAAAAGAAAGTATCGTTTTCCAACTTTCATGACAGAAAAGGTGTTTCCTCCAAAGCAAACAAAGGAACATTCTGCCACTTCAAAAGACTTCTGCAATGCTTCTAGAATTGAAATGCCATATGTTTCACCATCAATTTCTGACTGTTTATCATTTCCAATCAAACCAACATGTGATTCAAAGATCTGCATAGAGAAGCACTTGTCATAAACTTCTATCTCACTTGGTAGTTCATTTATTAATAAATATTCATTCTGCACAGTTGAACTTGCTTGCAGATAACCATACAGTTCATTCCCAGTTGTCAAAATCCTATCAATGTCTGATGATGACCAAACATTTTGAATTTTTACCTTGGAAAAAATTATGCTTGATAAGGCATTAGCTACACATTGTTTACCACTTGAAAATCCAAAAAGATCAGAACAGCCTTGATGAAAGTGTCCTTGCACAGATAAAAACATTCCAGTGTCAATACCCTCACCTGTTTTCCTTTCCTTTCTTTTTTCTACTCCAGCCTCTAGTTGAATATTCCTTGTATGGGGGTACATTTCCTGGCTTTTATCATCATGTGTCTTCTCTGTTCTGTTCTCACCCATTTCCTTTTTTTTGTTTTCCAATTTTTTTATTTTGATCTCATGTATTTCTTTCTCATTTTTGTTCTCTATATTTTCCTCATTTTGAATCTTGCACCTTTTCTGATTTGTCTTACTAACTGCATCACCCACTTCTGACAGTGATGGTACACTCGCTGGTGTACAAACGCATCGCGGCGAGTCAGTTAGTGGCGCCTGCCCTGCTTCACACACTGGTGAAGGTACACTCGCTGGTGTACAAACGCACGACAGCGAGTCAGACATTGGTATGTTACCCCTCTCAGGGATAGGCAGACTTCCTTGAAGAGGTACCAACTTCAAGGCATTTAAAGGATCTTCACCTGAAATAGAATGCTTACCGTCCTTTGATAGAGTCTCTGCTACCCATCTTGTTTTAGCCATATCTCTGGCTCTTTGGGATGCTTTCCCCTTTCTTGGCATCTAAGAAAATTGTAAACAATAACAAAATAACAATAACCTAAAACCACAATAACCTAAGGCACATAAAGCACATAATAAATTACAGGTACTGTGAGGGAGCTTACAAAATAATACCCTCCTTATAATTGTTTTTATGGCCCATTCAAATTTTGTTTGTTTGTTGTTTATTACTCCTCTTGAGAATTTTTCACTCATATGGCAACACCATCACTTGCTGGTGGAGGGCTTCAAACTTAGATCTACACTCGGCACTCAGGGCCACTGAGCAGTGAGGGATCTTTTTCATGCCAGCACCTAATGCAGCACATGACCATGGTTTATACGGTCTCATCCGGATTGTCTCCACATCCCGCAGTGGGATTCAAACCTGCGACGTAAGGATCAACTCCTTATTCTGCGACTCAAGAACAAACGTTTTGACCATTGTGCCATGTGGGCGACTTCAAATTTCGTAAATGAGACCCTGAACTTGCCAAAATTACCTTGGTTAAAAAAAGAACACATCCATTTGTTCACAAGTAATCTTTTAGTGAAATGTGGACATCCAATTTTCTCCATTAGAAAATTTTAGACCTGAATTTTACACTTTTTCTACCTGTGACCTTGAACTTTGCCACAATGACCTTGCATCAAGGTTATGACTATTTTTTCACAATGACTGATTTATAATCGATCATCAATCAGAAACGCTGTCATTTTAGATAATCGATTTGAGATTTAACAATCCATTATAATCCAGATAATACAGCACTTATCTTTTTATTGTTTTCTCACTTTTATTTAAAAAAAAAAGAAGCTTTTGTTATCAATGTATTATTTCCATATATATCTTCTAAGTATTGTCATTCACCATTTTAACATACTGAAAATCTGAATTTAATATGAAAAACTGGTTTCCTTACCGATAAGTACAACTAAACTGCTTGTATAAATAAATTATATTGGTTATCAGTGTTTGCGGGAAAAATCACTTTCCATTTCATATGGACAATATACTGTCAAATAAACAGTTTAAAATTTAATTCCATATTTAAAGTGAACATGTTGATTAAGACTCTGTCAGCACTTGGATTTTTTTTTACCCAGGTCAAGTTAATCTTAATCATGCAAAAAATATGTATTAATACTGAAAATGATACTCAAACTGCATACTGGATTTAGAATTGTAATCTGTATAATACACTTTTACTTGTATTATTATAAAATTAAGCTTCCACATTTTATATAAAATTTAGAGTCTGATTATCAGTTGATTAGAGTCAATCAATACTGCCGATTAATCGATTCTGATTTAGAACCGAATTGAAAACCCTAGTTTGACACACTCTCAGGTCATAAACAATCTTTGCAACAAGTACGAGCTTCCAATGATTCTCCTTTACAAAACTAAATCCCAGACAAGTTTTTATACTTTTCTGCCAGTGACCTTAAACTTGCAGGAATTACCTTTATTCAAGGTCAGGACACATCCTAAGGTCATAAACAATTTTTGTGTAAGTATGAGCTTCCAATGACTCTCCATGACAAAATTGTAGGGTGGACAAATTTTTCAACCTGGGCAGAGGAATCAATATGTAAAACAAAACTCTGCCTCCTCTTCCCTTTAAAAGCAAGAGCATAAAAATTGTACCCTTGCTCTTCTCAAGATTCTTAAAATACTTTACCCTTATTCATTTATGTAAAACTTTGAGCATAGATGCACTCATGGTCATAATTTCAACTAAACTGAATGTTAATAATATGAGATGCTTGCATATTAACTCGGCGAATTGTTGCTATTTATTACAAAAAATGTCTAGAAATTTTTTTTCAAGGTCACTTTGTCACTTTATAGATGTCTTTTTCTGTCCCATCCAGAGCCTAAAGAGTTCCAAGTTTTTCAACACTGAATCTACATTATAAAGAACATGAAATTCCATGTATTTTCAAGATCCTGTAGATTCCTTATTTTTCTCAAGTACTCATTGTTGCAGAATGCTTCTTTAACGTCAAATCGTCGCAAGAACAATAAATTGCGAGTGGATGGTTGATCAAGAGATTTTACATGGAATTTTTGTGACATTACAACTCCTGGTGTTTTCAGTGATATCACAAACTAACTAAACTTCTATTAAACAGTTGACACTTTTTCAAACTAATATTCAGAACTTTTCAAATGCCCCTCGTATATTGCAGATATATTGTTTAAATAATCATCAATTGCTCCTGCCTTGCATAGTTCTTAATTAGTTCAATATAAACAACTGTCTTTTATTTTAGTCTATGATGTAACCTATGTGCATAGAATTCAAATGCTATCTCAACTTTTGATAGCAGAATAGCCATTGTCCAAAGTTTTTTGAGGAGTAGATTGAAAACACTTAGGTTGTGAGACGGTACAGCAAAGCAAGACATAAAATCAAAAGTCTGATATCATGGTTCACTTGCACTTTCTTTAACAGCAAATTCTTGAGAATCTGAATTTTGTAGAAATCTTGTCACTGTATTATACCTTACAGGAAAATCATGAACTTAAAAGGTAAATTAAGTGTCTGGAATAGAGGTAAAATATAAAGCTAAATAATGAATACCATGCTTAAAGTAGGAAAACGCATAAAATACAAGCAATAACATCCGAAGCCAGAGACAAAAAGCAATGCCGTAAACATGATAAATGGAAGTTTTTTTAACAATGCTCGGTAATATAGCTGTCTAGTTTTTCTTTCCAAATTTTCTCAAACAGAGAGCTACAAGTTCCGCAGGTAAGTTTTGAGATCTACAGCATTCAAAACACTTACTTGTATACTTTCAGATTAATAACTAGACAGACAGTAGATAGAATGTTCTATTAGTAAAATTACATTGTTCTACCAACCATGTTGAAGTAAAACAATAGAATATGTTCTGTGTATTTACAATGTAGCAAAATAAACAGAGGCAGATAATTCTAATCTAATCTAATTCTAACTTCAGTATCTCGAATACGAATATCTCGAATACCATATCATAGATATGTCGAAGTGATTTTGAAGCCCAAAGCACTTATTTCTTAAGTATTTTACCCTGGATATCTCAAAGTATTCTTGTATTTTCTTGGTCCCATAAAGTTCGAGATAACGAGGTTTGACTATATATATATATATATATATATATATATATATATATATATATATATATATATATATATATATAGTCAAACCTCATTATCTATCTATCTATCTATCTATCTATCTATATATATATATATATATATATATCTATATCTATATATATATATATATATATATATATATATATATATATATATATATATATATATATATATCAGGGCTGTCCCTAAGACCCGGGGGCCAGGGAATTTCCCAGCCTATAATGAGATTATCCCCGTTACTCTAGTATTCTTCCTCAACCTCAAGTTAGGAGAGGAATCCCAGACCCCCTTCTACTTTTTGAATTTCCCCAGCTACTTAAATTTTTAGGGACAACCCTGTATATGTGTGTGTGTATATATATATATATATATATATATATATATATATATATATGTGTGTGTGTGTGTAAGTGAGGTGAGGGCCTGTCCTGAGACACAGCTTTTTCTACCTAGACAGATGACTGTAAGGCACCCATTTAATTATACCTCTGTCTGAAAAATAACATATATTATAAAGGAATCGCAAACACAGCTTGTCTAAACACAGACAATAGGCCCACATAAGAATAAAAATTCAAACCATCCATATAAATTTTATTATACATAAATTTTATAATACTACATTTTTAAAGACGCTTGGTCTGGTTGCTATGGTAAAAAAAATACTGGTGGTTTGTAAAAAACGATTCCCTGTTGAAAATTTTCCTCTTTCGTAAAATTATATTCTCAAAATTGTTTTTTTTTTTAAAGAAGATTTTAATATATTACATTTTGAAAAGTAATTTTTGTTGGGTCACACACAGAAAAAACAAAAAAAATAGAATTAATCCAAACCTTGCACAAGTGCAGTTGCTTTGTACACAAATAGCACGATGGAAGTCAAACAAATGCTTGGAGATCAAAAATGTTTGACTCCGACAATAAAAAAAAGAAACCTAACTGGAAAAAAGACCGTATTGGGAAACGCCATGGCCCAACTGCAACTCAGAAAATGATACAATTATGTTAAACAGTAATTTCATGTTTCTCACAAATTGTTTGTTTAGCTTTTGGAAGTCATGTGCTCCTACCCATTTTAAATACCTATAATGTGTTTGTTCTGACAACTTGGTTTTAGAATGAAGATTTCTCTTATAAATGTTGTTAACTGGAAAAAAAAACAGTCAAATGATTTATTTAAATGCATATTTTAAGTACATTATATATATATTGCTTAAGAAACTATGCCTGCAAATCAGACCAAGTGACTTTAAACAATGATTTATTGTAGTCAACGATACAGCTTGTACCGAAGAAACATGTGTACACTACTGCTGTATAATGTGGTTTTTGATTAAATAACAATAACAAAGTATACAGTGTATCACATTTCTTCTCATATTCTCATTATATTCTCTTTGTAAAAATAATACTGAATACTTCCAAAATTTGCAGAGAGAAAGAAGATACACAGTCGTTTTACCAGTAACGAATCGGTTAGTTGTTATGTCTTGCACGCAGCCTACATGGTTGAAGTTCTAAATGTTCTTGGTTGTTATTTAAATTGTATTTCTATGCTTTTCAAATATGTGGTACCAAAATTCCCAAAATATGAATGGTACAGACACAGAGATGTCAATTACAACATCCCCCATTTTCCTAGTTTCGAATTGATTTTTCAGTATCGAATCAAGAACCCTTTCCTATTGCTGACCCAATAAATAAAATCGACAGGTCTAAATAATTGTTGAAATATGCCTTCAAGAAAATTCTACGTAAAGTATATTAACATAACTTGTTGATTTAAATGATTTTTTTTTCTAAATCTAAACAGTATGAAAAATTTTGCATT